CTCTCAACCCTCCACCCTCTCTCTCGATACATAATGACCAGTCCCCCATATTAAGTCAAATGATAAACAAAATCAAGAGGAAATAACTACTGACAGTCAGTCTAGTAGTCCGGCATATCTCAGCAAAGGAATACAAGYCAATTTATGCGCTGAGGATGTACTAGTGTCTAATCCCCCTCCTCACGGGACAGCCATCTTGGATCCTGAGTAATACGCGGTCAGMCTCGACTGATCCAAGATGGCTTCCATGTGAGAAGGGAGATTAATATTCTAGATGAAGTAGTTATCCGCGACCATGCCTGAATCTTTTAATTCACGAAAAGTGTGATAGCTTTGAGCTCCCACTCAAACAATCGCACGTATTTCGATACTTTTTKCCATTTTCATAAAAAAAAGTACTAACATGTTGATTATTTTTAAATTCATTGAAGGAAGAAAATRGTGCTCATGTTAAACGCACCTCAATTAAACATAGACATGATTTTGTAGAAAGGAATTTTACCGTCATGGCTTCGGCTGACAACTTTAACTTCCCAGCTTCGCATTGATTAACTAGTTTCATTTTTTTATTTTCCGTGTTAGTACGTATGTGTAGTATTTCACTGAGKCTGGCAACAATCACTTGCTTACAAGTTATTACTTTCTGCAGATAAAATGCGCTTGCTAATCGAAAATATGCCCTCACAAATAATTACTTTAAAAAATGTAAGTTATTTTCTCGTGTATTTTGATGTATTTATGCCGTAACTTTCCCTTTTCTGGACGACGGCTGACTATTTCCTTTGAAATCGCGAGCTGTGACTGATKTTTTGTCTATTGGSMAAGATCCCTCCGAAATGCCCGTGAGCAACACGTATTAAAAACTGAATATTTTTGATCATGCAACTTTTATTTTGATTTTACTCTATGTTTGTCTTTGAAGGCCATTTTTGAGATTTTCTTAACCATTACAACGTGGTCAAGTAATAAAATATTACGTGTTTTCATTGACAAAAAAATGATGTATCATGAGATGGATGTTGCAAGATAGCGACAAATAGGTTTGTTATGTGTATTTGAGGTAAAAAGAGCATGCGAATTAAGAGTTAACGCGAAAGAGGAAGCACGAAACTCGAAGTAACAGAAAATCTTGCCTCTTCCTTATTAGTATATATTTAAATTTCAGATTAAAAAATATAATATTCTTGAATTG